TGCACGACCGAGTTGGGGCGTCTCGCCCCCGGGAAACGTATTTCGCTCAACCAGCTCTCCATATTGGCCCAATGCTCTGTCATTCTCCACCGGGAGAGCGCCATCAGTAGTGCGGCTCCCTCCCTCTCTCTCTGCTGACTTCTCCTCACCAAGGTCACTCCTCACTCCTTGTCGCCCTTATCGTCCTTCTTCTTGCCGTCTCCTTTTCGATGCCCCTTGTCCTTGCTCTTGCCATCGCCTTTTCCTTTGTCTCGCTTCCCTTTGTCTCTTCCTTTGCCACCTTTGTAGGAATCCCTGTCTTCCCAAGGCCACCTGTTCGTGTTGCGTCTCATAACACGATCCTCGACCTGCAACTCTCGGCCTGCAGCTCCTGCTTCGGGCACGCTCACCAAGCTTGGGCGCTCTGGCCCCACCAGCTCCAGCCTCCTGGCGATCTCGATGGTGGTTCCACGTGACATGGCCTCGAGGGCTTTTAGTCTTTGCCCGGCCACATCCAGCGCTGATGCAATGCGTCCGCGCAGGCTCAGGTCGATGATTGTAGCGAGATGTAGTGATTCCCTTGCTAGGGCTGCTCCCATCTGCTGCTGCAAATGCGACCGAAAATACTGGGTCGCCACGGGAGCCACCGCTCCCTCTTCGACTGGGCGATTGGTGTAGCCATGTGCCGTGATCATCTGTTCTTGCATGTCCAAGATCGTGGCATTCAACAACGCTCCAGGGACACGACGCCAGATCTGCAATGATCTCCTCTCGCTCTCGAAGAGCTCTGACCCTGCAATGTGCTTCTCGGCCAGGCTGGTGGACTCGCTCGAATCTCCTGAATCCTCCCCCGACGTTCCCTTGCTCCTGGACCGGGAGGATTTTTTCTTCTTTTTCTTTCCCTTTCGGATCTTTCGAGCCTTCTTCATGAGCTCTCTCCTGATCTCGATGTCTGGATCCAGAGCTGTGTGCTTGAAGACCTCCTTGATGCCGGCTTCCAACTGCACTCGCACCTTTGTCTTGCGCTTCTTTCCCTTCTTCTGCGGCCTCTCCTCTTCGACCTCCCTTTTCCCTTCGGGAGCTCCTGCGTGCTCGGGAGAGTATTGAATCTCTCCCCCTTTTGTCCTTTCTCCCATCTCTTGTCGTAGTCGATGAAGAGGGTCGTCTCCTCCTCCGCCAGCTGCTCTCTCTCGGGAGACTTCGGCCAGGTTGCTGTGCCAGCCCTCGGCCTCCCCTCCTGGAACGTGGTAGCGGTGGCCGTGGATCAAATCCCTCGCCCACACTAGACGATCGCATGGGTCTGAGCAGATGTGCACCCGCATCTCCTGACATTGGCCTCCGAGCTCTTTCAACAGGGATTCTTGCTGGGTTCCTGTGACCCAAATCCTCCATGTGGTGTCGCCCTCGTTCACAATCACCCCACGAACCTCGCCTGCGATCATGACCGGGGCTTCCCAAAACATGCCCTCGATGACGACCTTCTGCCTTTTGTGAAGGGTGTCCAAAGCGATCTTGTTCAGGGCTTCCCAGACCGGCTCCTCTCGACCGGGAGGCTCCTCCGCCTCCCCCCGTGCAGGGCGTCTCAACACTCCTCTTCGAATCCTCCCTGGCTCCACTGCAGGCCTCCTCCGTGGCGGCGTGTCCTCTACCAGTATCCCCGCTCGAACTCTCGCCAGGCGCGGAAATTGGCGTTCCGCTCGTCCTTCTTCTTCCCCTTGTTGGGTGGAGGATCTCTGTAGGGATCTCGGTAGTGGCCTTTGTTACCCTTGGACTTGGCTCGAGCGTCAGTGGCTGCCCAGCTCGAGTAGCCCGGGGGTGGATGGTCTGGCTCACGTGGAGACGGTCGAACTGGAGGCGGTTTTGGTGGGGGTGGCACTGCTCTCTTCTGAGCGTTGGTAAGGCCTGAGGCACTGGATGGCACCGGATGTCGGGGAGTCCGGCGGACGAGACTCCGACTGGGGGTCCGGGACCTTGGCCTTGGGCTCGTCCACTCTTTTCCGGACTCCTTTGGGGGCGAGGGCTCTTTGCTTTCGTCGTGCCTAGGGCTCTCGGGTTTGCTCGATTTTCCCCGATCTCGACGACGACGGCTACGGGAGCGACGGCCTGCTCCCTCTGAAGATCTTGCCCTCTTCTCTCTTCGGTCTCGGCGGCGACGGTCTCTCGACTTTGATTCCTTCTGGCGACTGCCCTTGTCCTTTTTCTCAGGGTTCGGAGTTGAAGTTCTATCCTTTGCGATCTCTTTGTCCTCCTCGGTGTCCTTCAAGTCAGCCTCACGGGATGCACGCTCCGACTGGCCCTCCTCTTTCTTGCCAGCCTCTGTTCCGCTCCCCTCCTGGCCGGGAGCCTCGACTACGGTGCAAACCCTTCCTCTGCCTGGGCCTTGTCCTGAGAGCTGACCGGCTCGGTCTTCACGCGAGGTTGAGCTGGATTCTCTCCCCCAACCGGGAGAACAGGCGAACTGCCCACGGGAGGACCAGGAGTGGCAGCTCCTGTCTCCACAGCGTCCAGCAGCTGTGAATGAACCTCCCTCAAAAGTGAAAGCCCTCTCCTCTGTACGGCCCCGCTGCACTCGGGGTCGTAGAGGAGATGCACCACGCGCCGCACAGTCAAGCACAGCGCACAGGTGCAGCTCTCGAACTCATGAACCATCCGCTGAGCCGAGAGGCTGCGGAATTCAAACTAGCGGGTTGTTCATCCTTAAATTCGGGGCGAAGGTCATGTGTGTGTGACTGTGTGTGTATGTGTGTATATATTATTTCATTCAAAAGCATGCAGCAACCTAACACCAAGCATTCGGGAACAACACACCCTCTGCTTGCAACGTCTTGCAAATGTCTGACGTGTCAGTCCAGCAATCATCAGCAAACCACACGGCACATCAGCATGTGTATGGCTGCTACACGTGCCTCGTTAGAACTATATTAGCAATCATAATTTCAGCGTTGTCTCAGCAGCTTTCTTGGTCAGCACATTTGGAGCCGACGCCGGTGAATGCTTCTTAGAATCCGTCCAGGTTTAGCTGATGTGCCACAAAGGTCAATGGTCCTTGTGTACGTATTGTGTTCTGAGGCAAGCACAGCGGATGAACAAATCAATTGGCACACAAGGTCAAAGCCTGAAAACAGCAGAATGTTACTTGCCTCGGTCGTCACTGTGACCTAGAGTGAGTAGACGGTAGACTACGGGCCGCGAGGGGGTTGTTGGGAGAGAGAACATACGCCCACTGGGCTGCAGGCACTGTATGCAAGCCAAATGGTGCGCAAAACGCAAAACAGAATCTGGCTGAAGATTCTTTCTGGACTCGATTCTCGGCATGCGAAACACGGATCCGGTTTGAATTGCTCCAGTTTACACAGCAGAATCACTGATGTGCCCTGCCTGGCTTATTCGGTTGACTACTTTCTTTTTTCTTCGCCTTAGCCTAGGAAACTCACCCTTCAATGGCTCCAGACTGGCCCCTCTGGCTCTCTGTTCTCCTGCTTCCAAGTCACCGATGCATCTGTCGGGGTTGATCCTTGATCCTCCTGAGCTTTCTTCTCTTTTTGAGCTTGCTTCTTTTTGAGTTGCTTCTCCTCCTGTGCATTGGCACCGAAAACCAATGCATAGAGCAATAGAGCAGTTGCCCCACTAGACCACCATTCGAGCAAAAAAAGAAGTTGAAGTGCCCTCAAAAGTTCCCGAATCCAATCGGGTGCCAGGTGGTTTGCACTGTTTCACGTCCATTGGCATTTGTTTTTTACATGGTTTGGTCATGGCTTTAATCCCCCTTCTGCTTGGTTTATGACATTCATGATGACCTCCAGTGATCCACAGTGGATTTGGACGACCTGCAGTCCAGTGAAAAGTAGTGGTGATCTGTATCAATATGTGTGTGTGGTGATTTTTAGGCACGCGGCGATCTGTGATTTTTTGTGGCATCCGGTGTTGTCAGGTGGAGTGGCTTCTGTTTATCAGTGCAGCTAGTGGATGATCTGTGGAGGTATGTGAAGTTGTCACACCGAGTCGACCGGGCTCGTTCGCAGTGAATTGTTGATTAATGTTGATGATGTGCTGCTCAAGCAAGCCGAGCCCAGCTGATGTTCGCATTCGCGGGAGACTTGTAGGTCACTTGAAGTTTAACCTATGTTGACGATTGTATTAGGCCTGGCTTTGAACGTGTCCCCTCGACCTCCATCCTCCCACCACCGAGACGCCTTCGGAGACGCCTTGGGCGACGCCTTGGGCGAGGCTTTGGGCGAGCCTTGCTCCTCGCCGGAGACAATCTTCCCGCCCTGCAACCAGCGTTGCATGATCAAGGTGAGCAAATCTGAGTAGGACACGCTCACGCTGCCCAAGAAATGATACGTTACCAAATGAAACACTGTGCATACAATAGATTTATAAATAGGTTCTAAACACATATCCCTAGTAAAGTGAGTAAAGGTCCCAGATTTTCTGGCTTTGTCAAAGTGTCATCAGCTCGATCGATTATCGTGTGCCCAGCACCTTCGAGCCCTTCTTCAGGACCTTCTTCTTGACCGGCATGGCCAGGAAGTCGACCCCGGAGTTTGCCGTCACGGCCACTGCTAGCCAAAAATAAGACCGGGAAAACACACACACACACACATCTTTACTCCTTGTGGAACCCAAAGTGCAATTCATACATATAACACACAGTTCTCACGCACCTATATATATATACATACATACGCATGATTATACATGTATAATCATGTATACATACTACATACACATCCGGGATCACCTGGGAAGATTAACATGGAACCTGAAAATTGACCTTTGGAAGACTAGCTTCCTCCAGAAGCCAGTGCTTTCAACAAAACCAGCGGCTTTCAGGTTCCATGCAATGTTAATCTTCCCGGCCGTGTATAAAATATATTTATATATGGCTATTATGTAAGAATAATATTTTCATATTTTATACATCACACACCCAATGTCCACCCTTATACCTATGCATCTTCAGATCCACGAATTCTGAATCCTGGCACTTCAGCAGTGATTACACTGGAGCAAGCGACCGCTCGAACTCGTTCACGGGCTGCACGCCCAGCAGCAGCGGCCCTCACGCCATGCACCGGGTGATTTGCTGGAGTTCGCTCATGCAAGGGGGTCCAACAAGAGGCTACATAGGTAACAACATTCTCTTGATCGCTGAGACCCAGTCTTTCGAATCGTTGTGTCGCCCTTCAGGCGGAAATCTACCTGGCAAAGGTGGGTGAAAAAAACGAAGCCATTGCAAGCAGTGCTGCATGAAGCCATTGCGTATGCAGCATAGGGATCAAGTGAAAAATGTCCAAAGTTCACAAAAACAGGTGCACGGTGCTTGTTCAAACGCTGGGTCAGTTCAAGACCTTGTCTCTAACCAACCTATGACCCTATGCTGAACTCTCAACATTGCTGACAGGCCTTAACATCAACGCAAGCAGACACCTTCCAGTCATTCTCTGGTCCCGGGTCCTCACAAAATCCAACAGTGCAAATCAGTCTGGCTATTCCACCCTGTTGCAATTGTGTGGCTCGTCTGGGCTCGTCTCAGGATGTCTCTCACAGCAAGCTGCATGGTGTTTTTTTCTCAAAGTTCTGTTCGAGCTGCAGGTTGCCCAACCTTGGAAACTGTGCTGTAGCTTGCGCAAGCTACAGGCAGAATCAATGTCTGCATTTCTTGTGGCCTATACAGTCTTGGCGCATCATCCTGTGTACAGCAGTTCTTATTTCCCAGATTTTCCTACGCGAGCTTGATTTGGCTTCTTATTCAGAAAAAGGAGGGAAACTGGAACTTTCCAGGCCAAGATCAGGAGACCTTCTTGTATGTGTAAATTTGGGCACTGAACCAAAGGTCAACCTGGATGCCTCGAAGATACCAGGTTTACAACATGCCCGAAAAAGCACTTTCAAGACAGTCACTCAAAATAAGCTACAAACCTCTGGCTGAAAGAGCACGATGCTGATGTCATCAGCTTCCGAGGCGCGGCCATACCTTTGACCAATTGCACTGACATTCCAAAACTAAGACTGGTTGAGCGACTGAGCTTCCTCAAATAAATTGATGGATTGAACCAGCACCCCCCCAAGACCAAAGTGTTATATATGCACGGCGTTGCACAAAAACCAACGAGCTGCAATCAAGCAAAACCGTCATGTATATACAACTGTGCAACCTGCAAAAATGCAGGTGAGTGGCTCTTTCAACCATCTGCTTACTGCAGCTTTCGCTAGTGCTTCGCTCGCAAGGATGTTTCTCTTCCAGTCGCCTGCCTCAAACGGACCACTGGGCTGCGGCCTGTGTTAGATGCAAAGCCAGGCATGAAAGCACCCCAACATCAACAGCATTACATCAGAATTTAATGCTTCGAGATAGATGTGGAGCCTTTGACAGCTTCTCCAACACCTCCACTTCAGGTAGCACATCCCAAAGACCATCCTTGGTTTAAAAGCCAGATCAATATACTATTGACATCTATTGACCTTTTCCTGTCCAACCTTTGCCCTTGCAGGGACCTACGGAAACAAAGCAAACTAGCATCTAGAAACTAGTTTTCTTGCAGGATTTTTCCGTGTCACCGAGATACGGAAGCCATCAGCACAAGATCGCCAGGACCCATTGACATCAAGTTGGACGTCTCTGGGACCTCGGAATGTACAGAATGTATCACTCACATGTCACAGTAAGACAAGATTTATTGGAATTTGTTCGTAATTATATAAGATATATACCGCCTGGAGTCACAGTTGGGCGATTTGGGAGTCTCCTAGTCAACCTGGCTCTTTCTGGCAACTCCTTTCTTGGACGACTTAGGTTGGTCTAGTCTAAGACTTGCAGCCAGCAGTGGCGTCTGCTACCCACAAGCGGAATCAATGGAATCAGTGGCTGTGCCCCCACTTTGCGCTTTGCATGAGCAGCCTTGTCCTTGTGATACACGGCTGGAATATACCCCGTGCCAAGCTCACACCAGGGTTGCGGATAGAGGTGCTGATGCACACAGGTAAGCAACGAGGCCAAATGCACTTCTGTCTGCTGATCTGAGCGCAAAGCTGATAAAAAGCCAGCAGGCTCCTGAGAAACAAGCCATCAACAACATCAATGAATGCGCCATGTTGAGGGCCTGATTGCACATGGTGAACCTATCCTCGCAGCACTGGTCTGCTTCAAAGGCTCCATGTCAATGTCGCCGATGCCACGCGTTGGCATGACCTGCCCCCACGAGCTTGTCTGGGCCCGTTGACTGAACCCCCAGCTGTGATGTCTAAAAACCTCTTCTTCATTCAAAAATGCTAGACTGTGCAGTTAGGTCACACAACCTCTGTACTTGTTCAGGCTGCAAAGGTAACCATCATCAATCTGGTATTTATATCTGGGCTCGTGGTCTTGAAGCCGTCGTAGCTCAGAGTCGCTGCTGACGGAATGGATGGAGGTTCGGAAAGCCACTGTCCTCAGGGCAATGACGGGTGAGCTATCCATCGTTCGTTGGCGATGTCAGGGACCATCGGAAACGGTGGGCAACCGTCCACCGATGCCTTGATTCACTCGGCGACTCGGGGGCCTCTTTTTGGTCCGAGATGGGATGCTCCAAACGGGTGAGACTTGAGGTTACAAGAGTGCACACCAAGCAGCCTTGTGAGCTTGAGGCTTGATCCAATTTGGTGGGATGCCTGCCACATGAATTGACTCATGAAAGTAGGCCTTCGTCATGAGCATCAAAATCTGTTGAAGCTGTTCAGCTGATGGTGAAGATGTCCAGGTCAGAACGCGACCAGCAGTGCTTAGCACACCCATGGTTGGTTGATCTCCTTGAGTTGACAAGGAATGTAGCATTCTCTTGTCATAAAGATCTCCTGCTGCTTGAGGCTCAGCTCGGGTCAACACGACGAGGACGTTCCCCCGTGTCTGCTTCCAAGCGGTGCCCAGCACTTCATGGTAAAAGCCATTCCGATCTGTGAGAAGTGCTCGACCCTCATGGCGATGCACCACCACTACCAGTTCTGGCTTTCCAGGTAAAGCGGTAAATTGACGCAGCTCAGCCTTGAGCAACAGCCGGGATCGCACTTCACAGGGGAAAATACCGGCAATCACCTGGCTGATTTCAGTGATCTCCTGCTGCTTTAAGCTGCACACGAGAACCTCCAGTTTGTCAGTCCTGGACTGGATCTGGTCACGATGCAAAAAAATGGAGACTCTCATGCTTGGAGCCCAACGCCTGCTCGCCTCAGGAACGGAAGTGAATCTTGAGCGGGTTCACCTTGAGACGTTTATACCTTGAGACGTTTATTGCCCTCCTTTCCTCCCCTAGATGCCATATATCTATCCCCTTATTAAGCACAGGTTCCGGGCATTCTCCTGTTCAAACACACTCCCCGTCTCGTGTGTAAACACAGGTTTGAAGAAGCAAAAAGGAATCAATCGGTATCAACATGCTTCATATGGTCTGTCCAAAGGTGAATAAAACATGAGAGCCCAGTCTTGGGGCCTCATCATTATCATTATCTACACAGCCCTCATCAATCTGCCAGGGAACAATCAGGGCAAATCACATGCTGGCCCCGGCATTCAAACGCCAGGCTCCTGAAAAGCAACGCGCCCTCTCTCGCTTCCACATACCCTTCAGAGGTTGCAACACAGGTGCCACAAGTGCACACGTACCGCAGCTCCGGTACCTTAGGAGGCGAGTGCAAAGACCGCAACTGGAGTCTGGCTGAGAATTCACTGGTCTTGATTTTTGGACGTACAGTATGATACATTTGGGAGGTTTATTCAAGTCCTGCAGATTAAGTGGGCAAAGGCTGTCCTCTCAAGCTCCTGCCACCTTTTCTATCCCTGTCTTGTGATCAAATCTCACCAGTCCAGGCCACCAGCGCCACGGGGCTCTCTGCATCAGCATCAACGCCCATCGCGGCGTGGTCGGAACGCCATGGCGGCTGAGGGCGCCGGAATTCGGGCGCTGGAGCCGGATCAGCAGGGTGGTTGAGGATCCAGGCACTGGGCCGGGCACGTCAAGGGAGGACTGGGAGGCCTACAACTGGACAACTTATGTGGCGTGCGCAAGGGAAAAGCAGGACATCTCTCATACTGGCAAGCAAAGCGACCCGGGATCATATGACTGACATATGTGCACAAAAAGTCACTTCATCTCATGCATACCTTTATACTTCCTGATAAACATCTCGGCTTTGCTGGCCATTATGTAGCACTCGTTGTTTCGCTGGGCAATTGTGATTGACTGTGGGGCATTCACCACGGACAAGGATTGACCGACGCCAGTGATTGGTTGACTTTGACGCTTTGCATGTAGCTCTTTACTTGTTTGCAGTGGTGAGTAGGAAAAAGCGAGATGGCATGACGTGGTTTGAGGTTTGTGTCTGTGCGACTCATGCCTGCGTTACAATGAGCATGGTTCGCCGGTTCACCAAAATCCTTATATAACTAATCATTCCTTTTGGGGGGCTCAATCGCATACCTCAGTAGTACAAGCTCAAAGGCATTCAAAGCCTACGATCTTACTATCGCAGTAGGATTGGTCAGTCCAGGTTTGTCAAGCTGACAAGCCATTAAACAAAGCATGCATTGAAAGACTTGCATGAGTTGTATGTATGAATACAGGGTCATATTAGGGTCATGTTACCGCTTGGCTTAGGGCTTAGGCTGTGGTTCTTCGCTGACCTGATCCGAGCAATGCGACGCTGCGACACTCGTCACGAGATGGTGTACACCGCATCGTGCTGCAGAGGTCTTTCCGCGACTGCCCTGTCCCAAGAAATGGTTGGCCAAGTTGCCCTTCTCTCACCAGGATGCCCACCGAATCTCCAGCCCATGCGAATGCAACATGTCCGCTCTCTTCCTGGGTAGGCAGGGAAAAGCAGAAGTGAAGGCACGCAAGGTTCCAACATGCAGTTGATGCAAAGCATGCAACATGCAAGTTCTATCAACGTAGTCCCTAGTCTAAAAGCTGTTTTTAAGAAAATGGGTGGTGCATTCACATGTTAACAAAGGATTCATACACGATTCAGTTCCAAAAGAAACTGCTTTGTGGTAGAGGGGGTACATCTAGTTACTGTATTTCTGACTGTTCCACCCTTTACGTGACACGATTGAGAGCACCCTTCAGTTCATGGAGCCAAGTTCCGGCAAATGTTTGCTTGTTGTATAAATCAAATCTACCGTAAGCCGGACTGAGGGGTGCCAAGGTGCCTAAAACTAATCATCAAGTCCTTAAAGGATGTTAAAGGTATGCTAAGGTGCCGTTGCATTTCAATCCAGAATGACAATGCCACTAAACTTGTGATTCGGGGCCGTGATCTAAACGCGACCCTGGAGGCTCCTGGAAAGCGCACAAGCCCCATGCTCTCATCTCCACAACATTGTGTTGATTGTCACGGCTGAGGCCCTGTCCTCCATCACAAGTGCCACCAATGTCGCGCCACCTCTGTAATGCATCCTTCTGGCACGTTCCTGGCTCTTCGTCACAACGAGGCCCTAAACGTCGAACGTGTATCGGCCCAGTGACATGTCAGACTTCACAATGTAATTAGGGTTGTTTTCTAAAAGAAGTGCAATCCGAAACCCGACGACGACCTGCTGGTCATTGTGGGTCCTGGGGTCATATTAGCATTTTTGCGGAAAAAACCTGATAGAACCCACGTGAAAGCAGTCACTTTGTATAGAAGCGTAGCACTCAAAGCGTTCTTGTTTTCGGAGATGACTCGCAGAGTCATCAACTAAAGCAGCGCCAGCACCTCCCCAGCGTCTAGACACTCTTTCTTGACACTCTTTGCTAGACACTCTATCTTGACACTTTCTCTTGACACTC